AAAATCAGACTCCACAGAATCCACTAAGCAAACCATCTCTCAACATATCTAATGCACAATATCAGGCTCCCACAGCTCAGTAATTGCTCTGCCCACTGTTCGATGCATAATGTATGATGATGTCTAGACTCCTTTTTTATTTTTAGATGTTGAGTATATCACTACAGAAGTGAAATACTGTAAACTGATCACTTCCTCAATCTTGTGCTGGTGATATTTCCCTATATTAACATCATGATCTCATTTTGCTGTGTGTCAGGTGTCAGTGTTTTTCTAACTCCATTATCAGTCACTGTAACAAATACCTTATCTGATTCTGAAATGTATTTTTGTACCATGTTTCATTATTACCCATACTGCAATATAACCATATCACTCATTCCTGCATGCATGGCTAGTTTGGTTATGGTCAGTGAGAATACAGAAATCAAACAGAATCTGTTTCAAACAGAATGCGTTTTGCCTTAGAGGAGAGAACATTGGGACTGGCTAACTACGGTCCCTACGGTGTAAAGGTACCTCAAAGGGCCTGGACTAAAAAAATTTGCACTTCCAAGAGATGGTAAAGGAGGCCCCATATGCTCTGAGGAAAAAAAAAAGAGTTCCATCTAGCACCCTTCCACATCGTCCGGTTTGTCTTTCTAGTGAAATCCTTAATGGTTCTGTGTAGAAGCGTGAAACTTCAGGAAAGAGTCCAATAGAACCCTTTTAGAAAGATGTTATCCAAAGAACCACTGAGGAACCTTTTTTTTTCCAAGTGTGTAGAAACTTTATATTATATAATTTTACAAGACCCAGGGATACAAAGCCATGGCTAGCATGTCCATTTAAAGAAAACATATTCTTCCAAAGGATTAGGGATGTAAACCCCAGGCTTCCACATGATACGATACGATTTTGATTTTTAAAGCAACGATTTGATATTTGATAATACCACAGAATCTGCTATGATACGACACATTACGATATGATTTCTAGTCATAAAACAATGAACAATATTTGACCATAACACAGATTCTGCTACGATATGATATGATTCTATCTGCTAAGATATAATATGATTTCGAATTCATAACACACTGATTCCTTATTTGACCATATAGCTGAATACTACAATATGATACAATTTGATACGATTTTGATTCAGTAGGCAACGATTCAATATTTGACGCTATCAATGATTCTGCTACAATACGATTCAATAGGATACGATTTTGATTCTTAAAGCAACAATTTGATGATGGACAAAACTGTATCTGCTATGATATGATACAATGCAGTTTCAATACATACCAACGGTTCAATATCTAACGATACCACTAAATATACTAAGATCTGGTGCGATTTTGGTTAATCATGCAACTATTCAATATTTAATACTGCTATGATACGATACGATTTCAATTTTTAAGGCAATGATTCAATATTTGATGCTACCACTGAATCTGCTATGATACAATACGATTTTGATTCATAAGGCAATGATATGATATTTTACCATTTGATATTTGAATCTGCTATGATATGATTCAATTTAGTAGCCTCTGACTGATAATCTCATTAAATATCAAATTGTGACCAACTTTGTTGAGAATCTGTGTTACTCCTGCAGTTAATTCACAATTATTGATCTAGAGAAGGACTAAATTATGGGCAAAACACCTTGCTAGCCTACTTACACCTCAGTTTAAAAATATGAATTCTTTTTTACACACTAGTTGCCTGTCTTTTTTAATCAATTATAATATACAGCAATCAATTTAAGATTGTTGTCTGGATTCATTTGAATAGTTATATTCATTTGAATAGTTGAATAGTGAATAGGTTGAGAGTTCAAATCCCAGCACCGCCAAGGTGCCACTGCTGGGCCCTTGAGCAAGGCCCTTAACCCTCAACTGCTCAGTTGTATAAATGAGATAATTGTAAGTTGCTCTGGATAAGGGCGTCTGCCAAATGCCATAAATGTAATGTAATGTAGTGAATATAATCCAAATAGCCGTTCGTCACACCCTAACAAAGGCCCTCACATTTATTCATGGTTAATTTCTTCTCTACAACAGTGCTCAGACCAAACTTATTTATTCTTCAGTAAGAGTTTTACCCTGGTCAGGGTCACGGTGGATCCAGAGCCTATCACAGGAACGCACCCGGGATTGGACTCACATCCACACCTAGGGACAATTTAGAATGGCCAATCCACCTGGGATGTTTATGAGAGGTGGGAGGAAACCGAGAGAACCCAGAGGAAACCCACACAAATACACTGAGAACATGCACAACTCCATACAGACAGTAACCTGAACTCAGGATTGAACCAGGGTCCCTGGAGATGTGAGATGGCAACCTGCCGCACCATCGCCACTGTAAATACAATCCTCCAGCTACAAAAATCAGTCCACTTGAATGGAAAAAGACATGAAAGGAAATGAAAAAGGGTTTTTTCTTCCAGTAGTGGTTAATTTTCCACTGAATTCACCTAGTTCCTCAAAGGTTCTTTGGATCCTAATGGTTCCAACTTTCTACATAAGGACCTATTTGAAAGCTTTTGTGAACAGGAAACAGTTGTAGGGTTTATAGTATTCTACATGCTTAAGAAACTTCAATAGTTCCCCAAAGGGACAAACTGAGAGGAGGCTGTTGTTTCATTTTTCTGTAAAAAAAATAAAGGAGGAAGTGCTAAAGGTCTTTTCCTTATGATGTTCTTAATTCTTTTAACACTTGTCCCCCACAGTAGCAAAGATTTCTTAGGTACACATCTACAGTATCCAAGTGAGATTATCTACTGAAGTACTATCCATGTGGGTTCTTCAAGAAAAAGGGTTCTTCAAGAGGTATTTATATCGTTGAGTGTCCTTAGCTTGGACATGGTTCTACTTGGAACCTTCCTGGTTGTAAGTTTAACTTTAACCAAAGCCAACATTACCACTACAATCCTTCTGAAATCACATCATATCAGGAACACTGATAGTCGCCCGGTTTTTGCGCCACTCTGCTGAAGAATACAGTGAGTCTTAAGAAAGAGAAGTCACCGATCTATTGAGAAAGTTTTCTCCTGACATGCAAACTAGAAAAACAAACAAAACCCTGTGGTCTGTCAGTGAGTTGCAGATCTGTTTCATCGTGTGTACCTGCAGGAGCAGCTCATATATTCACAGATGCCTGCCACTTTGTGTTGCAGTCGAGAGCTCGGCATTCCTGATGTGCACAGAAGCCAAATGAGCAACTGCCATTTCATTAAACTGTAGCAAATCTGTGCATCTGTGGCGCTCGAGCAATCGGCACTTAAACAAAACCTGGGAAGGCTTCCACTGAATCTGGCTGTGAAATGTACACTGGTGTTTCAAGGTTGATTTCCCTTAAGATGTGCTTGGAGTCGTTTTGGCAAGCTATTTAGAAAGAATACAGAGTAGAATATGCCAGCAGTCTTGCAGGACACCCGTTGTGTTTTGGGGAATAAATGCATGTCTGATGCACTCCTCTGTTATCTTGACCTTGAGATGACCTTGCTAAAGTGCATCGTCTCGGCTGTTTCTGTGGATAGCTCTGCTGCTGGCGATCAGCCAGCCTTGTTTAATGCAAATTTGCCAGTGTCTTTGTCTGCCAGCAAAGGTAGCATAACACAGACAAATTGGACGCAATAGCCCCAAACGTCTCACGGTTACATGAAGCACAACAACGAGGCTTATTACCTTTTCTTATTTATTCAGTGTGGAGAAGGAGAAAGTAGACGTGTAGCATTTCAGGACCAGCTCAGGCTTTCTGCTTGAGGTCACGTAGCGTGGGCTGTCAGTACAGCAGCAGTAGCACTGACGCTCTCATCTTCATTTTTTGGCACTGTGCTAACATTTGTACAGCCTGCAGGAATCTGGGGGAATTCAAACTGGGCTCTGAGGAGAGGAAACGGCTGTGTCCTAAATGCTTCAGCGTGAGACAGGGATGACAGTTGGGTCCTGAAGGGAATGTTTGCAATTGCCTTTTTAGAGCTGTAGCTCAGTGGTTAGGGCTCTGTGATTGGAAATGTGTGAGTTCAAATCGCAGAACGGCTCCACGTCGCCACTGGTGGACCCTCGAGCTAGGCCCATAACCTCTACAGCTCTGCTTGGATTGTATCCCAGCATTGTCTGCCAAATGCATACATGTGAATAAGTAAGTGCAACTATGGGCATGTTTATATCCCAGCAGTGGATTTTGTGGATATATTAAAGTTTTTAACACAATAGTTTATAAAGTGCTATTTTTAATGACTTCATGCGGTTTATGAAGCATAATGCTTCTCAAAATGACAGTTTTGTTCATGTCACATAAAAATCAATTACTTAATGACAAAATATAATTCTTTCCACCGAAACTGTACAAAAATATTTGAATAAATATTACTGATCAGTCTATTAATATGATTTTTCCCCCATAAATATACAGAATATATCTGTCCTACATTTATAGACCCTTACAGTAACACTGGCCAAATGACTTAAAATAATGCTTTTTCAACACCAAACATATTTAGTTTCCATGGGAACATGATTTAGCAAAAGAGTGCAATCATAAGTGAGAGGGAAATCTAATCTAAATTATAGGAAAATAATCAGTGGCATCAGGTACCACCCCAAAGCTGATGGTTTTGCCATAAGAGCAAGTCCTGAAATGTTTTATTCTTCTTATATTACAGCAATTTGCCAATTATTACAATTTTTATTTATTAAAGAATCACAATTTTTATCTATTTTTAGTTACATTTAATGTGTAACATCCACAAAACGTATCATTCTAACAGCTATAAACAGTCATTTCCTCACAGCCTCTCTTTCTTTCTTTCTTTTGAAGTTAATAAGACAAAAACACAGCTGTTATGTCACAGAAAAACCACAAAGCCCTCCGTCCTAAAGACTTCCCTCTGTCAGAAAAATTACAGCTGCATTTACTCTTTTCGCAGACGATTTTATCCAAAGAAATGTATAATGACCTGAGTGAATGATAGTTTAGAACCCAAAAGTGACTACTTGGTAGTCTTGAGATTTGAACTCACAACATTTTGCTCATTAGCCCGAAGCCTTAACCACTGAGTCACCACCACCTAGTGTGCATTGGTTTCTTCCAGTATTTATTGTATATTTTTGCATTCGTCTCAAACTCTCATGTATTTGCACTGTATGTAGTCCTGTGTACTGTGCTACTGCATTATGTGTTGCACCATGATCCTGAAGAAATGATACTTCTTTCCAGTGTATACAAGTTATATGGAGGATTGACAACACAAACCCACTTGATCTTGACCTTGACCTTTACTTCTGACTGTTAAAAAAGCGTTGACACTGGAGACTCCTTCCAAAATGCTAAATAAACATCTCCTTATAGAAACTTCACCATATCAGTGATTACACCTTTTTTTATTTATGTTGAGTGTCCACCATTTAATTCATTAATATGAATCTTTGCATCTGGAACTACTATCAGAGCTACTGCTACAGAAAATGAATCAACACCTTCTGACCAATCAGAATCGAGAATTAAACAGCATGGTGATATAAAAGTCTACAGTGACTTCTATATCTTATAAGGTTACTTTGCAGGTTGTGCAATGTAGGCTGTGTTGCTTATTTTTTACATATGGTTAACAGAAGCACCTCAATATGATTTGGGTAAATTAATAATAAACCATACTAACAATATTCAGTTCAATTCTGTTTTCTATTTCAGTAGTGCTTTTAACAATAGACATTGTCCCAAAGCAGCTTTACAGAAATCCGGATGTAAATTTAGACCCCTAATGAGCAATTTAGTGTCAGGGAAAAACTCCCTGAGTCGACCTGAGGAAGAAACCCTGAGAGGAACCAGACTCCCAAAACCAAACCTTGTCGGTATTAAAGTTAAAAATATGCAATAAAATGAGTTGCCCTAAAGCTCCGGTGTGAAACCGTGGTTCAGATTTGTAGCTACAGGACAGGAAAGGCTGACACTTGCCTCGGGCCCCAACACTGTGTGGCTCGGTGAAGGTTTGGTGGCTTATCATTAATAATTTAGCTGTAAATCGTTGCTGAATTCATTATGTTGCCAGCGGCTGACCAGGCTGTCTTGTTAGCCTGGATTTTAGATTACATACACATAGGAAAAAAACCTAAAACTTAGGCTCAAAAAAACAACATTTTATATAATGTACTGTTATGTAATGATGATTTAACAAGGGACGATCCACGGATTACAGCCTGTGTAGTGTTTATCCAGCAAGCTAACAGAATATAACGTTGAATTATGCAAGTAATTCATTTTACCTAACAAATAAATTCAAATCAAAAATTGTAAAAGCATTATTGCTATTAATCATATAAAATTTATAAATGTATTTTGATTCATATCTGATTATTTTTTTGAACTTCTGGGTAACATAATGGTAATAAATATTGGTTAGAATAATAATAATTGTCAGAAGACCCTTTCTTTCTTTCTTTCTTTCTTGCCTTTGCTCTCCGCAGTCTCTAGAGTCACATCTTGTCGTATTAACATTTACTAACTTTATTAGCCATTAAGTACAGCAGTAAATTCATGGTGGTATCAGGCTTCAGAGGTTGTAGTAAAACAATAGTGTATTGTAGTAAAAGCATAACAAACTACACTGGATTACAGAATAATTACACACATTTCCACATGTGAACAATGTGTGATTACATATGAAAATGGATTATTTGTGGGGAAAAATCACATCTGAAACATGTGAAACATCTGAAAATAAAAGAATCATTTGTAAAATAATAATAATAATAATAATAATAATAATAATAATAATAATAAATCACATGAAAATAAATGAATTATAAAAAAATCACATGTGATAATGGACTCATCATGTGTAAAAAATACATGTAAAAATAAATGATTTAAAATAAAAACACATGAAAATAAAAACATGCATTGCATGTGAAAAATATGTGAAGTGTCTAAAAAAGATGCTCATGTGAATCTTCAGTGAGGAAATAGACTCTTATCTAACTCTTTGCACAGTCTGGTTCTCTAATTAAACTCATCCTCAAATCTTCACTCAGATTCCTATAAAACTTTAAATCAAATTCATGCTTTGGTTACTTTCACATGTTCTCTCCACTGTGAAATATTAAATGCCTGCTGCTCCGTCTCATCTGTTTCCCAGCAGCTTTCTCCAGCCAATCAGAGACGCCGCTCGGGTGGCAGCCTCGTGGCTCGTCCAATGAAACCGCTTTGTTCGCGGACTCGCGCGAACAAAGCTCGAGGGCGCGCTCGCGCGTCAGTGTGTGCTTGTTTTTGCTGGCTCGGTGTTGCCAGATTGTGAGGATTAATGCATGTTTTATTCTGTCTGGTCTGTTTGCTTTCACATATTTTATTTTATTTTATTTGTATTTTTGTGATTTTAAAAAAAAATAATCATGATTTTTACATAATATTTTCCCTTTCTCCTCTTTGTTTTGATTCTTATAGTTTACTTTATTGACATATTGAATGACTTTCTCACTTGTAAATGAAATACATTTCCTTTCATTAAACAATTTTATATATTTCATTCTTTCGCTTGTAATATTTATTATTACAGAGAATATCTCCAGCATCAGCCCTGTAACGTATGAGAAGCGTGTACTAATGGGCGTGCTAAAGCGGAATGCGCATGCGCAGGAAGTCTAGGACGATGTCTCAGAGAACCGGACAGACGTGCGACGCAAACACATCCAATCTGGCAACTCTGAGCTCGAGGCTTTTCTGCTCTGCAAACGTGCGCCGTCGTGAGGTCCAACGGACTGCCGCTGACCGCGCGCGCTCTCTCTGCTCGGCTTGGCGCTGAACGTCCCGCTCACTGCAGCGTTATTTCCTTGGTTTTTTTTTCCTTTTCTTTTCTTTTGTCTTGTCCGTGTTGAACATGTCGCTGATGGAGGAGTACGCGGAGGAGGAGTACGAACGCGCGCCCAAGCGCCTCAAAACCTCGGAGGTGGAGGAAGGAGAGGAGCTGGAGGAAGGCGAGGACTCGGACTCAGCATCCGCCGGGCTGCTAGGAGACGAGGAGGAGGACACGCGGCGCTCCGGAGGGCAGGACCGGGCCCGGTGGAGCAGCGCGACCTACACCAGCAAACCGGTCCGGAAGGTGAGACAAAGACGGAGAGACGGAATGAGAAAGACAGCTTTTCAGGGTGTGTGGAAAACTGCAGGAGATCAGTCCTAATCAAAAGCAATCATAATTAAGGCTGTCGGGATTAATAGCGCGCGCCATCCATAGTTATCCCCTCTAATAAACATCGCTCTCAGAATGTTACAGTAAGCATCAGTGTAACATCAGTCTAACGAGCAGTAATAAAACCCTCTAATAAGCATCACGATCATGCAATAAATCCGGTAATGTCAAGCTTTAACTGCGCAAAAAAAAAAGAAGAAGAAGAACAAGCTCACGAGCCAGCACGAGCAACTCCAAGTACAAATAAGACGCAGGTTTTTCTTTCATGCTTCACGAGCACGTCGCGGCCCGTCTGAGTTCTCTCGATCGGACGCGATTCGAGTCTAATCCCCCTGCGCCCTGAGTGCGAAGTGCACATCGCGGCTGGTGCTGATTAAACACCAGGCACCACAGAGATGAACGCAGCTGTAGATGAAGTGTCTGCGGATGTGGTGCGACTTTTGCATAATACTCTTTTTTTGCATAGGCTGTGGGTCCGAGTGTGGCTCCTAACGCGTCTAAGTGCACGCGAAGATCAGAAGGAGCCGACGCGACGGATGCACGTGCAGTATCTTCTGCTGAGAATCACTGCAAAAAATGGTTTTTGTTTGTTTTTTGTTTCCGTTATGAGAAGCAGCAGATACTTTAAGACAAGCTGCATGTATGTCAGTCAACACAGAATGCCTTCATGGTGCAAAATACATCCAGTTCAGAGTTTCAGATTCGCATCAACCCCCATTCTACATCACTACATCCCTGAACATCCCTGAGTGAGACATCATGTCACCTCTGGCTACACTCTAACCCTGGGGCTGTTTAGGATCTCTAATTAGTTATCTAAAGTGAAGTTCACATTGCAAGCTTTATTGCACAATTCTCCTTTTTTTTTTTTTTTTTTTGCTTAATCTTGATAGTTCACATCTGTAACATCTGCAAGTGAACCATATCAGTCTTTATGCATGCGTCGTTATCAAAAAATGTCTTATCTGTCATATTAGAAGCAACAAATGAGCACACTAGCAGCCCAAGCCTGCATCGCAGTCACAGTATTTTTAGTATTTTGCCTCCTTGAACTTTTTTCCTCTTTATTTTTCTGTGCCGCTGTAGCAGTGTTTGTTTTTTTGTGGCCACACTTGACCATTTCTTGAGAAGTTGTTTCAAACATGACTCAGTCCGATCATTTCCCCAAATTTCAAGTAAATCACCAATTTCCCCATCCTTCTACTAAATACACTCACCGCTCACATGAATTCTGACAAGTCACATGAATTCTGACGGGACCGTTCTCAATCATGTCACATGGCCATTTATCAGATATGTATCCGATCTAGGACCACATATTCACTGTCATAGACCGACGCATTTAAATTAAGGATAGAATTCCCACTTAAGTAAAATATGTAAGTTCAACAAAAAGTAAATAATGGCAAGCTCTTAAGTTAAAGTCATTAAATAGAAATACATACAACTGCGAACTTAATTTATTGTAGTAAAATGGACTGTGGATTTTATCAATATGTAAAAGCTACATAAGGCCATAATCACTTTTTTACAGGGAGGTTAATGGGGCGTCATTTGAAGGGTTTTGGATCTTCTCAGTAGACAGCGATGCTTGGCGAGAGTTTATTGCATAGCTCACATTTAGGCTCGCGAAAAGCGTGTAAGAGATCTGAGATGAAGTGTTTACTGTTTTTTTGGTGTGTTAAAGTACTCATGAAGAGGGTAAGGAGTTGTTTGGGTAAAGACTGTACAGGGTTCAGGACACGGTAGCTTCTCCTGTCTTATTTGAGATGTTTCGTACACTCTTATATTACATGAGTTGTTTTTCAAAGAATACACACAAACACACACACACACGCGCACACACAGGCATAATACTCTCAGCTAATGGCTCAGAATTATGCAA